CTCCCCCTCTCTAGGTGCACCCACTACGGAAGCGCGCCCCCTGTCCTGATTGAGACATATGGGACAGTGTTAATAGGGGTGTCGGCCCCCTAACCCTTCACCGCCCCTGCCATTACCACCCCCTCCCCCCTACGAACCTCCCCTCTGCCAAATGGGAGTAAACGATCTCCGTGCCGACCAATAGCCACTACCCGCTGCTGCTGCTGCGGGTGGGTACCAGTCCGCCAGGGGTAGGATTGATTGGGAAGCGAGGGGGGAGGTGGAGGTCACATGGGTCACTATGCGGAGGAGAACTAATACAGGTCCGATGGGTTCCAACGACGCAGTGCACGCGACACCGTTGAAATAGTTTCTTTCTGAAAAATATCCACTACACCGTGTTAAGAAAGTCGCCACCGTCTTGATCACATCGCCGTCCATCGTCGTCCGTCCTCATCCCAATAATAATGGTGGTGTTTCTCTGTTGCAGAGCCGCCTGCTGCGGTCGGACAGCGACGCGGCGGCGCGCCACCGGCTCACGTACGCGCTGGACCTGTCGCCGTCCTCGGCGGGCGAGTACTCGTGCGCCGCCACCAACAAGGTGGACACGGGCCGCTCGCAGCCCATCAACGTCAGCGTGCAGTGTGAGTGTCTCGCGTCGGCTACACTGCTGGCTCACAAAAAAAAAATGAAGAAAAAAGAAGTTTGCTTGCTTAACCAGGCAAAATTGCCTGTTGGTTCAGCAGCAATAGTTTTGCAAAGTAATGTAGAGGGATAACGGTAACGGGGAGAAAATATTTCTGGAGATGAATAGACGAGCAATTTGTTTTTTCGGAGAGAACTCTCTGGCGCCGCGCGGTGCCGCTGCCGACTGTGCAGGGGGAGGACGGGTGTGTTAGCCGAGAGATAAGGCGCTCTGCAGTTATCTTTATGCAGTCACCTGCAAGACGACGACATGTCTGTCTCTGGCTGGCTCACGCTCTCTCTCTCACACTCACTTTCTCCCTCTCTCTCTCCCTTTCCATTCACCTATCGTATCTCCCCCCCACTCCGCTGTGGAGGTGGCTCCTTTTTTCTTTACCCCCCTCTTTAAGCAACCGCCAGCTCGTCGACCTGCTGCTTATGAGGGAAACGACCGTGCCGTGACAACATTGTTACTGTGGATAAAAGATGATAGTGTGAAGTTTAAGCGCGCTCACTCGAGGTATCCGCGAGCGAATGTAGCAGATACCACCCCTAGTCTCTACCCCCTAGGTTCCGGCAGAGTACTGCTCTCCTCGCTCTGTCGTTATTGACCATCTGAGAGACTTGGAGGCCACCGACCCGTAGTCGTGCGGTCCGGCGGGTACATTTTTCTCTGTCTCCTTCGCCTGGCTGCGCGGGTCCTCGCCGAAGGCCACAAGTGTCATCTCATTACCTCATTTGTTCGCCGATGCCGGCCTCCGCCCACGCCTCTGCCACTCTGCGCCGTGTTTGCACGAGAGTTTACAGAGGGCATCGAACAACTCGGCCCGCCACTGTGGTGATTCCTTCGCGAAAGAACTCGGGGAAAATGTTGATGAGTTTGTCCAAGAAAAACAGTGGGGGCCGTCCGGGCGGGGGTGGAGTCCAGAGAGCGGGCTGGGTGGTTGAGCTGCCGAGTCGAAGGGATTGGGGATTGCAGGGGTTATAGGGATGGGGGAGGGGCAGTGCGATGGGCCGCCTCCGCCGTAGACGAGCGGATGGGAGGGGACGCCGTCGTGAGGTGTAGGCCGACCCTGGGCCGAGCAGCCAGCCGAGCATAGCGGCCGTTCGAAAACTTTAGTGCGAGGAGGTCGGCGTGTCTCGTTCGACGCGACGCGACAGGTTGAAGCTCCCCGCATGCACATGGAATACGGCGGCCAGATGGATGTGGAGATGGCGCTGGAGGAGCGGAGCGGAGCGCATCTGCTGACTCCGCCGTGTCTCAGTACTTGACCCCCGAGGGGCGCTTGCCGTGCACCCCCCCCCCCCTCCCCTTACCCTCATGCATGCCTGTGCGATCTGATGACGGCTGCCAGAGGGGCGCGGCCGGCGCGGCTGTACATCCCGTAGGCCTCCGGGCTCAGGCGGGGGCCGTGCAGTGCAGTAACGAGCTGCTGCCGCCCCTGCCGCCGCCACCGCCGCGCTCATTTGGCAGCCATCTTTTCTTTGTTCCAACCGATCCGCGCCCCGCGTTCTTTTGTGCTTTGCACACCGTCGTCGCAGCCGCCAGGTGGATTTTATTTTGTAAACATACTGCTGTTTTTTTGTGTGTGTTTTCCGCGTGTGCTTTTTTTCTTATCAAGGAGTTGCCTCGGTCTTCTCCGCTCTCCGCTCTGCGGAAACCTTTTGAAATTCAAAGAAATAAAAACTGACGACATGTTGTGTTCTTTTTCTTTTTCTTCAGTCAAGCCGCGGTGCCGCGAGGGCTTCGCCAACCGGCGGCTGGGCGCCATCAAGGGCCAGCCCGTGGAGGTGCGGTGCGAGGTGCTGGCCGAGCCCACGGCCGACCTGCGCTTCTGGTGGACCTTCAACCGCAACAAGGACAGCCGCGTGGCCATGCCCGCGCACAAGGTGCGGCAGAACGGCACCGTCTCCTACCTGCCCTACACGCCCAACGGCGACCAGGACTTTGGCACGCTCGGCTGCTGGGCCAAGAACGACGTCGGCGCCCAGGAGGTGCCCTGCTACGTGCACATCATGCCTGCAAGTAAGTCCGCCGGTCACTGACGTCTCACCCTGCACGGGAGTCATACCAAATAAAACTTCAATTTTTATTTTTCTATTTTTTCCCCAACCCTTTAGGAGACTTTTACGAAAAGTTACTCACCGTATAGAAAGAACAAACATAAAGCCTACATTCAGTATTGCCCTTGACGATGTTACAGCCGTTTTGCTCGCGTCTCGTCCCTTTCTCGATAGGAGTGCTCTATCTCGCTCCCACCTACCTGCCCTCTCGCCTCCCCCTGCTGCTGCTCCTCCCGCTTGTCACCCTCGGTGCGTGGCACTCCGCGTGGGACATTCATCATGTGCGTGTGCGAGGGGGTAGCAGTTCTCCCGACGCCTCCCCCACCCCCCACCCCCTCACCAACGCCCCGTATACTCCTTATACCCTTGTGCGCACGCCACAGCCCCA